TAATCAGCGCAGCTCGAGTTGACCTGCCTGAACTAGCTCGCAGGCTTCGCTCCATAACTGACAGGCCTAAATTATCTTCTCTGAGTCTGAAAAGTCTTGGGAGGCCACTGTGGAGACGTGTTTGGATCAGGGTGGGAAACAGGAATGCTATTCATTATCATAAGACACTGCCATACACCAGCGGGAGGACATAAAATATGAGCTTGAAGCAAGCATTTCTTCATAGATATTTACTATCTCATTACCCACATTTCATAGTGGTAATCAAGCAGTAGTAACTATTGATTTAAGCATAAACTGTTCCTGGAGGCAGAAGCTGCATCACCCCAGAGAATGAAGTCATTCTCTGGCCCAGCTGGAAGGGGAGAAAGAAAGAAACCCAGAGCTCTCTAGTCCCACAGGACTGGAGAGTATGAATCCATGTAAACCCCGGGTGACTTATGACTGCATGTAATTACACAGTCTCTGACAGCACTGCAGCGATGTTTGCCCTTTGATGGTCTCGGTGGTCACCGTTATATTTGTCCTTCTTGTGCCTTTGAGAAACGGATTGGCTTAAATAGTCCAGTAATTTCCTACGGCAGTCAAAAGTAGTCATGGATGTAACAATGGATAAACTCCAACATGCCATAAAAAGAATATATGAGCTATTTCCAGTCATGTCAGAGACACAGGATCACTGTTTATGGACTGAAAAAGAAATAGAAGGAGAAAAAAGTCGATACGACTGCCAAACCACAGATACAGTTACAGTAGAGCTAAGTGCTACAGTGGACATGGATGTGTGCAGAGGCAAGGCGCCCTTCAGTTGTTCTACACATGTTGCTCCAAAGTCAAACAACATGGTTTATAATACATTTGTCTTCACTGTTTTGGTGTATAATGGGGTGAGAACAGGACAGAGCGGGCAATGAGTGAAAGCAGGAGAGGACTGAACCTAGGCCAAAAATGAGCTGTTTTGACCTCTATTGACCTCCTACTCCATCCTGCCCCCCTGTATGTGGTTTGTCAGTAAGTTTGTGGCATCTGCTTTAACACAAATTAATTTAAGAATATGCACTAGCGTAATATCAGCAGAAAAAACAGTGTTAACACAGAGGGACATACGAGACGGGGATGCAATGATAATGCAGGAGAGACCTTATGACCCTCATCATTTCAGTGTATACTGTGACTGGTACTACCACACAAACCTTTATCAAACTAAAGCGCAATTCATCAAATTACCACAAAGTAATTGCTACACATTGAACCTGGGGCCTTCAGGAATTTACGTGCCCGGATGGCAATCTAGTCTTAGATCAAAGTGTCTGTCTCGTCAAATCTACCACTGATCCAGGACCATTATTCTGTGTGTCATGGTCCTGGATGGATAACAGCTGGAACCTGGATGTTCAGTTGCTCAAGTATTCGTAGAGTTGATAACAGGAAGAATGTACAAACTCTGCAGACAGTTGGCAATTGGTAACACTTTATTTGGATAGTCCAAATTAGGAAAAAACACTGTTTGACAAACATTCTACGTTGTTACACATTAATGGATAAAATAACTTTACCTGTTTTTGGCTAATCTAGCAAAACAATACCCAGCAATGATAAGTACCATACCAAGTATCATATAAAACCAATATTGACATATCATGTCAGTCAACCCTAAGTAAGTTTGTATTATCAACATTCTGTGCTCCATCAGATCCAGATCCAGGATCAGTGCTACCATGTGCCAGTAACTAGACACTTGGGGGTTTCTCTGCACTTCCTTATGACTTTCCTGTTGGCTTCCTTCAGACTTGATGTTGTTTGCTCTCATGTTCATTATCAGTGAAATGATACCACAGTATTGTTTTTCTCTGAGCTAAGCAGAAACGGTTTCAGAGGCAGGCAAAGACAGATGGGAGTGGGCCGCTTGTAGTCGGAAGGCCGCGGATAATATGCAAAAATCTTGGACGTGAAGACATTTAGGTTGTTCATATGGTTCATTTCCATCGCTACAATTTAAAAAAGTGCCTCTGATTCTTCCCGCTTCTTCGTCGACAGATCTGCTTCAAAGTGAGTCTAAAAATTGAGCAAAACTTTTGACTGAACGGTGTTCTGAGCCACGAGAGTTAAAATTCTCCCCGACAGAAGTTTGTGACAGATCCGACAGTCCTGTCATACACATGAAAAAAAACAGACATGAGTGAGAGAATGGGAGCACCTTGGTGGTGGGAAGTGTGACGAATCTCAGAGCCAGCTTGTCTCGGCATATGCAACATTAAATAATGCACCATTCCAGATGGTTAACCTTCTAAACCCCAGACTGCCTTTGGCTCCACATTCACAGTGTGCCAGAGAAGCCCCTGGCAGAGAACACAAGAACTCATCCCAGCCTGCGATGACTGAGGAGCGACCACAACAATCGCTGCTGCTGTCTGTGAGCTGCGCAGACGCTCTCAACATGTCTGTGCTCTAGTTTGAAAGATGAACTTTTAATTCAACCTGTATTAGTCACTACAGCAGTCATTTGAGAAACGCAAAGATAAGATAACACAGAGCCTCGGAGCAATATTACTTCTGCCAATAGATTGGGAGCTGGTGAAATGTGCTTTAATTAAAATGTCACCATCAGATACCAAATATGATCAATGTGAGGGATATATGAGTTTTGTTTAATTATGTCGTTTGCCTAAAATAATGACTTTTTTGGGGGCACTTTCACCTTTATAGCTGATAGTAGGAGAAGAATAAAAAGAAATGTGGGGAAAGAGAGAGGACTGACATGCAACTAAAGTCCCTGAGTGGAGTCCAACTGTGGTTGTAGTTATAGGGTGTGAGTCTAACCCAGGACACCATGACTTTCAACATTACATAAACCTGTCACTCTAAAACTAAATCAAGAATGAAGCATCTGTGATTGTAACTGCATCCCATACTGAAATCTTATTGTGTTACTAATGCTGCTGAATTAGTCTATGGACATTGCGGAACATTTGCTTTCTGACAGTGAGGGACCGCTGTTTTACAGTTGATATACATGATGTTGCATTGTTATGACTAAAATCAATCAACAGTGTTGGCTAGTAACTGATTACATAACATCAGGGTTATGTCATCCTTATGTAAATGACTATAAATCAGCCTAGATTACATTTTTGATTACACCTTTACATGCAACTTTTTTTTTCATAATAGCCAAGGCTGTATTAACATGTCTGGTCTGACATAAGGGGTTTCTAAGATAAGTACTGACCTGGCAGCAGCAGTCCATCCAAAACAGCCTTCAACTCAGGGCAATAATGCGTCCATTTTTTTTTTAGGATGCAACATTTTCAATGTTTGATTTTAATGTAATCCAAAAATATTCAGATTAGAATTTTTTTTTTTTTTAAAGCCAATTGATTACTCATTACATAAAATGCCATGTAATTTGCATTCAGTAACTTACTACATTTCAAACACTCAATCTTTATTGCCACTAAGGGG